TTACAAATCAAATCAATATCCTGTCCCACGCCAAACATTCAAATTTCAATTAAATCCGTGTTCCGGACAGTTTTAATCTCTTTGCCGCCTTCATTATCGTCACAGCCAATCAAATCTCTATCATCCGGTGATGTTTACAGTGTTCAGTTCCAATATTCGTGTTCATTATCAGTCTAGTTTGGTACAGATGGTGTTGGATGGGGAGGTGGAGGTGAATGTGCAGGTGGTGTAATGGTTAACGACTTTGAATGTGGTGTAATGGTTAACAACGCGAAACAAGGAATAAAGTTCGAATTCCAGTCGAGTTTCGCGCAAATACACTTGGAAAAATTCTATGTATCCACTTCTCTCCCACGGGGTACTTCGATGTGGTGTAATGGTTAACAAGTTTGTCTTGTCAGATCAATTACGACTGGGTAATGAGTTGGATCCTCATTGGGTGCTCCACACCTTCGGCCTTGTGCCATATCAAAGCTACGCTTAGAAAATCATTTGGGCACCTCAATGTGGTGTAATGGTTAACAAGCTTGTCTCGCTGGAACAGTTACGACTGAGTAGTGAGTTCGATCTTCGCCGGGTGCTCCACATTTTCGGTCTTGTGCCACATCTAAGCCAAGCTTAGAAAATCACTACCTCTTCTCTCCATAGCTAAGGAAGCTGACTATGGTTGGAAACCAGTCTAGAAAAAGGTCTCTAAATTCTAAGCCCGAGAAAAGCTGAAGGAATCACAACTAGAGTAGGCCTGATGTCTTACTGACCATCTTCCCTAACCTGGATTTGTCACAGGGGTTGGGCATCCCGTAAGAATCGAACTCAAAACTAATAACCAACAAAGTCCAGCTTGTTCACCCATTGCAGGACAATGAGACGCTCTCAGTTCAAGTATTTCTTTGGGAAGGTGAAAGATGAAGAGCTCGAGTGAATATTGACCCCCCTCCAGGTCGAGGTTCGCAGAGTGAAAGTGAGAGAAAAGACTGGACAGGTGTGGGGGGAATAAAGGATAAAAGGCTAACAAGGTTCAAGTAAACAGAAGATGGCGGTTGACGCTGCATTTAAATTTTTGAAGTGTGTAGTTATCAGAGAAGCAAGTTAGAGGAAGCGAGTGCCACAATCGGGAAGTACGAGAAAAGAAACTGTTGGTTAAAAGTGGCGGTTACATTTAACTATTTTAACAGTAAAAGGGTGGGACCTAGATGCCAATCTAGTAGCGAGCTTAAATTCATGTAGTCGGGGCACCATGAAAAAAAGCTTGTCAGCGCAGTTGCCATGAAAATTTTTCTAGAAAAGACAGAGGGGAGCCACATCACGTCTGTGAGAAAGTAACTCAAGTCGAGATGCCAGATCAGGACCGATTACATTGCAGATCTTTTGTTGATTTTGTTGAGAACCTCGCGACGAACAGCAGAGGCACCAGACCAGATATGGCAATAGTATTCAATGCACGGACGAATGGCAGATTTGTAGACGTGTAAGATGGACTCTGACGAGAAAAACCTTCTGGCCCGACAAAGAGAATTAACTTTTATTGCAGTAGATGCAGCTGTTGATTCAAATGCTTGTTCCACCTCAAGTCAGTCGAAAATGTGAGGCCAAGGCGGCTCAGTGAGTCGCTTTCACAGAGTCGAGCATTAAACATGTTGATGTTAAGCAGGGAAGTTTTTGTTTTGTCGTGATTAAATGAGAGCAGTTTAGTTTTGGAGGCATTAAAATTTGTTTTATTGGGATAACACACTCATGTTTGATTTCTTCTACATTTCACAAATAACCAATAACTTTTGAACTTTAATTCGTTATATTATGCCTTATGGGAAAGATATTATTTTTTTGTTCATCTCTGGAATGTAAATGGGTCTTGTAGAGCGTGTGTGTGTGTGTCTCTCTCTCTCTCTCTCTCTCTCTTTCTTTCTCGCTCTATTTATTTTTTCTTTCCTTCTTTATTCTTCTTTATTTTTCTTTATTTTTCTTTCTTTTTTCCTTATTTCTTTATTTCTTTTTTTTCTCTCTCTCTCTCTTTTTCTTTCTTTCTTTTTTCTAACTCTCTTTCTTTATTTCGTTTTCATTCTCTCTTTCTAGCTTCCTTTTTTATTTCGTTTTCTTTCTCTCTTTCTTTCTTTCTTTCTTTCTTTCTCTCTCTCTCTTTTCTTTCTCTCTTTCTTTCTTTCTAACTCTCTTTCTTTCTCTCTTTCTTTCTTTCTTTCTCTCTTTCTCTATTTCTTTCTTTCTCTCTCTCTCTCTCTCTTTCTTTCTTTCTTTCTCTCTTTCTTTCTCTCCCTCTCTCTTTCTTTCTTTCTTTCTCTCTTTTTTCTCTCTCTCTCTTTCTTTCTTTCTCTCTTTTTTCTCTCTCTCTCTTTCTTTCTTTCTCTCTTTTTTCTCTCTCTTTCTTTCTTTCTTTCTTTCTTTCTTTCTTTCTTTCTTTCTTTCTTCAGAATCTGGTATTTCTATGATAGCAAATGTTCAGAACGTTGTGTTATTATTCCTTGCAAAATTTTTCTTCAATTAAAAGAATTCATTCCTTCTGGATTCATGATGTTCTCACAACATTTCGGCTGATCCATACTACGGCCCTCTTCAAGTCTACTATCCCTATGGAAAGAACAGGGGATTTTTTTTGGTAAGACAAAAAAAAAAACACGCAAAAAAAACATAGTAAACAAAAAATTCAGGACATTCATTGCTTGTGTAACCCGGATATAAGAGAGTTGGTGGGACCAGAGAAGAAGTCTCTTATATCCGGGGTTTCTCTTATATCCGGGTTGGGTCTATTTTGTTTAGGTAAGTATGGGCTCTAATTTGGGACCAGAGAAAATCTCTCTTATATCCGGGTTTCTCTTATATCCGGGTCTCTTATATCTGGGTTACACTATAATAACAATTATTCTATGATCAACAACGCATGCAGTATACCTTGTTCTATAATATTTTCACAGAGATTTTCTGGATTCCTTCCTTTGTTAAATAAAGAAATTAATGCTGTGTCCCTGAACGTACAATAAAATGTAAAACCGCGTCGAAATCCACACTAGTTTGTCATATACAACGATCCTACAAGCTAATATCTGTCGATCCCTTCCATTTTCTCTCTCTTTCTCGGTGTTCTCTGTCTTTTATCCGAACTTCATCTCATAAATGGTAACCTACACACTCCTCTCTCTAAATTATGGTCTGCCACAAAATATCTTTTTCCATTTCTATTTTGGATGTAGACATTTTTAAGTTTCTTAAGTCAGTAAGGGGATGAGCCCGAAATGCGATTTGAAGGTCGTGAACATTAGAATCAAGCAGGCGCGGAAGTTTAAATATCTGGGAAGCGTCTTGACAGAGGACGGTATGTGTGACACTGAGATCCGTAGGCGTATTGGGATGGCCAAGGACACATTCCAAAAGCTGGGCAGTGTATCGAGAGACAGGAGGATTTCTTTAGTAACTGTTATGTGTTGTTAATAATTGTAACAAAGGAAAAAAAAATGATTTACCACAACACAGAGCTAAATCACAAACAAATATTTAATTTACTAAAACAGAACATAAAATATATACAGGATAAACAATTGTGGCCTACAAAACTGAAAACACAGAGTTACTGGCGAAGTGTTACGAGGGAGAAGGAAAGGGAATCAAATATCTTTATCACTTTAGGGCTAGTGAAGTAATCTAAGTGCTATATTTGGAAATCCACAAAGGTGTGTAAATAAATATTAATTTTTAGTTTGGTTAATGAAAATTAGTCAAAATTACCAAATTTGTTCCATGAAATTCTCTTTTGGGTTTTGGTTGGTCGGCAACTTTTTTATAGAGATTCTTTCGGCTGGATATAATAGTCCTCGAATCAAAAGCCGGAGTTGATAACAGCAGAAATTCTCCTTCATCAACTGACAACCCTTTTCCAAAATCCCATTTTTATAGGGGCTAACACCTAATTTGCATATTTCTAGATGTTTCTCGAATCATCTAGATTTTCTCGAATATACTAGAATGATCTAGAATCTCCCAAACATTCTATTTCTAATTTCTCTATTTTACAACTACTTCATGAATGAAAACTTTTTTGTAATAACAAGTAGAACTCAGTGGAATCCCTTATTATAGAAATGCCTCCTCGTAACAGTAACAAAGAAAAGAATATTGAGCTGTTACGTGACAGCTATCTTTCTTTATGGCAGCGAATGTTGGACAATTTCTTCAAAGATGAAGAAGAAACTCGAGGCGACGGAGATGTGGTTCTACAGAAGGATGCTAAGGATATCATGGATCGAGCGTGTGAGCAACGACGAGATCTTAGAGAGTTTGCAAACAAGGAGGAGGCTTATACTTAATATTAGGAAGAGGCAGCTGAAGATTTTGGGACACATAATGAGGATGGAGTGCCTGGAGAATTTGATACTCACGGGTCGAATAGGGGCAAAGAGAAACATGGGAAAACAACACGTGACATACCTGGCGGACTTTAGCAAGTGGATGACAGAACGTGGTCTAGAGGAGCAAGCAGAGAGAAGGAACTTGTTGAGAGCTGCAAGGGATAGAAGGAGGTGGAGAGCCATGATCGCCTACGTCCTGAAAGGACATAGCACGTAAAAAGAAAGTCAAAATTTAAGGAGATTTTTTTCCTGTGTTACCAGTTCTAATGATTTAGAATTTTTCTATATCATTATCATTAGTGCGTGTGTGTGTCTGTTGGGCGCAAAATCAATGGACACCGTAGGTCTTACAAGCGTCAGATTAAACCAAAAACTTGAATATTGCTGACATATCTGTGATGGAACTGCTCAATCCTCACTTTCCAACCTTGATCGAGTTCAAAATTATTTACACGACCACAGACACAATCTCGCAAGCCTACCGCCACTCTATTGCTATTCCCATGACAAATGTTCAGATGATCCCAATTCATTAATTCCACCAGTTCAAACTTTTACGGCTAGGACACGATAATGCTACTTCCCTGGAGTCGAATCGCTCTTATTTCCACCGTGTTCCAAATGTAAGAAGAAAGTTTCATACGGACATATTTTTTCCCAATTATTGACACTTTGTGAAACATTAACGCTAAAATCACAACCTCTTCAGGTCAAACGTTAATCGATATCTATCCTCTTTATACTCATAATCTTCACTTCCTATCACTCACCTCATTCATCATAATCATGTTAACAGTATCCGTCTACCTGGGACGGGTCTCAGGCCTTATATTGGGATAACTTTAGTATAACCACACACATACATATATATATATATATATATATATATATATATATATATATATATATATATATATATATATATTTTCAGTATACAAGACCCATTTTTTTCAAAAAAAAATGCCCAGGAAAATACGTATTCGTCTTCCAATAGGAATGTAAAGGCAACGCCCAGGCTCAAATAAACTTGGACGGTCACCTAATTGGCTTGACTGATGGGGGACGTGGATTTGTATGTTGTCATTACACTGTAATGTTAGCTATCTATTTAATTCAGCCTTTTAGCTGTACTTAACTGTTACAAGCATTTCCAAGACGATAAACCTTCCTAGAGCCGATCCACAATCTTAAACATGCTGTGTTTAAAGCAGCGGTGGGAGCCTTTTTGCTTTTGCTTAGTATGCCATTGCAATACAAACAAAATCGGACGATTAATGATTGATGAGTGATAAATGTAAACAATACGTGGCGCCAGTATGTGAGGGGCGCATGGTGAATGTGTAGTTGCATGAGAATGACCTTTTTTTCTCAGAAATTTCTTTCAAATATTATGGTGTATCTTCCAAGCCGCAGCGTCTTGTAAGCCGCAAAATACAATATATATATATATATATATATCATACTTATTATAAAACCCAGGTTGTGTGTGTGTGTGTGTGTACGTTTATATATTGGATCGGATTTCCTACAGTTTTCAACCGATTTCAATAAAACTTCTCAGAACTACGTAAAATTACCTTGCTGTGGTTCTGACAGCGCCAAAAATTGGAAAAACAATTGTTTTTGCACGAAATCAATTTGAAAACGCGATTAAGAGGCATTGCTGTCGAGAATAAAAGGGGGATGACTCATATCGAGTTATACTTATTATAAAACCCAGGTTGTTTGTGTGTGTGTTCGTTTATATATGGGATCGGATTTCCTACATTTTTCAACCGATTTCAACAAAACATCACTTTTTTTGGCAGGTAGTGTTTCTTATTGTCCTGCACACTTTTTTCTTTATTTTTACATTCAGAATGCTTTAAAAATTCCATTTAAAAGACAATTATTTATAATAAAATTCTATTCAATCGGTAAACTTATAACGATTGAAAACAATGTTTTTGTTTGAGTTTGGGTTTGACCAATTCGTAAAAAAAACAAAAAAAACTAATTAAGATATGCGTGTCCATCAACCTTAAACAATAATCTTTGTCAATTTTATTCTTTATGATGGTCGATACTTGATCTATCTCTTACTTTTACATCCCCGGGCTATATATATATAATTAATCGAGTCTGATAGAAAACATCTACAGAATGCAGAAAGCCCTGGACGGCCGTTTCGTCCTATATTTGGGACTCATCAGCAGTGCGCATCCACTACCGAGAATTGAAACCCTGACAGTTAGGTTGTCAAGCGAACACCATACCAACTGTTCCAAGTGGGCCTCGGTGACGAAGAGATTGCAAACCAGACTCAACAAAGCGCCGCTCGCTCACATATTCCGTGGCGGAACTCGACTGAGATTCTCTGTAACCATAGGACTGTGCCCCCTGGAGCCACGACTACTCTCACCAAGCCGCAACCAACTGGAGCATTAGAAGCCGGTTCAAGCGATGATAAACACAAATAGTAATTAGTCGGAGGATTTGATAAATTTAATTAATGATGATGTATGATGTTTGCTTGACGACCTAACTGCCAGGGTTTCAATTCTCGGTAGTGGATGCGCACTGCTGATGAGTCCCAAATATAGGACGAAACGGCCGTCCAGTGCTTTCTGCATTCTGTCGAGGTTTCTATCAGACTCGATGAATTAATTAAATTTATCAAATCCTCCGACTAATTACTATATATATATATATATATATATATATATATATATATATATATATAATATAAGGAGATTATAGTTGTTCCAACGAGAGAAAAAGTGTATAATTTAAAGAGAAAAGAGAAGCTGCAAACGTTTTTGATTTTAAAGTGGATTTTTTCAAACATATATTATACTTTTTTCCATATTTTTTGCTACGAAACTCCGGAGTCGGAATGATAAAGGTAAGGTCAATCAGCTAAAAATATGTAAAATAAAGTATAATATATATTTTAAAAATGTTTGCGGCTCCACGTTAATATATATATATATATATATATATATATATATATATATATATATATATATATATATATATATATATATATATGGACATTGAAGTCAACACCCAAGGTGAGAGTCTGTTTCATGCTAAACGCTGTCGTCAATCCATAACGATTCCTTTTAGCATGAAACAGACTGTCGCCTCTGGGTGTTCATTTCAT